CCCCTCCGCGCCGCCAGCGCCCCAGTGGGACCTCCGCCTCGTGCCCCCTCCGCTCCGAGTACTTTATTCCGCGTCGCGACGCACGCCACCTCCCCCCTTCTCCCCACTTGGGATTTGGGCCCCGTGGCTGGGCCCCGAGGGGCGATGTCTTGCCCCCTCTTCCTCCATCCTCCTCCTCCACCTCCTCCTCCTCCCCCTTCCTTGTTGTGCAAGAGCCATGGCACACATGCCACTGGTGTTTGAACTTGTGTTGGGTTTGTTTGTTTTCATTGTTCGTCCAAGCTCCGCCTGTAGGAGGACATGCCCGACCTGAGCCGATCCTGAAGCTGTATAGCCCTGCGCCTTTTCCAGGTGCAAGGGGTGCCAAGAGATACGCCCTTACAGTTCAGGGAACGGCCAGGCGAGAGGCCCATGTTGAAACGGAGCCGCCTGTTACCTGTTAGCGAGACGGGCAAACATATGTGGCCATGCGCACTGGCGGCGCCTCGAACGAGAGAGCCCCATCTTGAAACGGAGCAGCCTTCGTAGTTGTTTGAAGTTTGTAACACGACTGGGCGCGGCGCGGAGGCTGTACAGTGCCGTTTTTCATACATGCTCCGCGTGCGGATCATGAATCCAAAATGCAGGGATTCAGTATTAAAAACAACGATGAGTTCATGCATGGATTCATTCATGCATTAATCATGTATTAAACATCCTATATGCTTTAAAATCCTATTATTAAAAAAAACTGCCCTGCACCCTCCATCGTTGTAGCCGTTTGAAGCATCTATGGCGGGTGCGTGCGGCGCCAATGCGAGAGACCCATCTTCAAAGCTAAGGCCCTTTTTTCCCTACCTAGGCTCTGCCTAGAAGGGTTCTTACTCTACGGGTTTAAAGGGCCGGGCAGTGGAAATCGCCCTGGGCGGTTCCCCCGGCGTCCGCCCCGCGGTTCCCCCAGTTACGTCCCTTTAGCTTAGCGTCGCTTATCTCATCTTAGCTTAGCTTAGTTCATCTTAACTTAGCTTCGCTCCATCTTAGCTCAGTTTTGTCTTAGCTTAGCGTACCTTCATCTTAGCTTCGCTGAGCTTTAGCAGAGCAGAGCACAGTATAGCATAGCATAGCGTAGCATAGCATAGCGCAGCACAGCATATCATAGCATAGCCCAGTATAGCATAGCATAGCGCGGCATAGCATAGCATAGCATAGCGCAGCACAGCGCAGCATAGCACAGCGCAGCATAGCATAGCATAGCATAGCATAGCATAGCATAGCGCAGCTTATCATAGCATAGCAAGTCATAGCAAAGCATAGCACAGCGCAGCATGGCATAGCAGAGCTCAGTACAGCATAGCATATCATAGCATATCATAGCATAGCGCAACCTATAATAACATAGCATAGCATAGCAGAGCGCAGCATAGCATGGCATAGCATGGCATAGCACAGCATAGTATAGCATAGCAATTGATGCTGCTTTCCTAGGGGCTCCAACTTCTAGGTAGGGTCGCACTGGGGTAATATCATGAATCGAGCGCTGCCGCCTCCGAGTGTTCGAAGGGTCATGCCCAGCTGGCTGGGGGCACGCAAGTCGTGGATGTTGACGGGCTTCAGGTAGCCAAGCAGGACGTCCTGGCTGTAGCAGGCTGGGTCTCGTCCCTTCGAGTTCGCACGCTGGTCGCGGGCCTGTTTGTAGTCGTCCCATTAGGCCGCCACGTTGCGATCCCCTGTGGGCGTGGAGTGGCGTCCTTGACTACGTAGGTAGCTCGCGAGGTCAGCCAGTGCGGCGCGTTTGCCGCCCCATTCGATGCCATTCGGGATCCCTGACTGGGGGGCGGTGGCGCCATAGACGCTGATGAGGAAATTATTGCAGTGGACCTCGACCCAAGCTCTGGGGTCGCGTGGAATCCCCGTCTGCATGAGGGCTTGGGGCCCGGCGCTTTGTGGTCCAGGACTCCCATGCGCCCTCGATCTGGGGGTGGAGGGATCGCTGGCGCCGTCTGCCCTGCCGTCGAAGGGCAAGGGGGGGAGGGGGGGGGGGGGGGGGCCGCGTGCCACCATCGCACTGCCAGGCCGGCAAGGTTCCGCACCCTGAGCGCTGGGCGAGTGGGGGCCGACGCGCAAGGGATACCGCCCCAGGAGGCTCCCCCTCCTCCTCCTCCTCCCTTCTCCTCCTCCTCCTTCTCCTCCTCCTCCTCCCTCCTCCTCCTCCTCCTCCTCCTCCTCCTCCTCCCCCCTCCTCCTCCTCCTCCTCCCTCCTCCTCCTCTCCTCTCCTCCTCCTCCTCCTCCTCCTCCTCCTCCTCCTCCTCCTCCTCCTCCTCCTCCTCCTCCTCCTCCTCTGTCCCTCTCTCGCCCTCTGTCCTGGGGGTCGCGAACCGGCGCGGCGGCTGGACCGTGCGGTGGCCCCGCGCGGTGCTGGGACCTCGGAGGCCGCAGGGTCTCCCGGCCCGCGGGGCCGCGGGCCTGCTGGCCCAGGCTCCGGGCTCTTACTACAGGAGGCTGGTGGTCGGGCGCAGGTGGGCGCGGGGCAGAGGAGCCAGGCCTGCCGGGCCGGCCCCGGGGACGAGCCGGCAGTCTCTGGCCGTGGCGTGGAGGGGGGCGCTGGGGAGCGGCAGAACCGCGGGCTGCGGCTGGCGCCGGGGGAGCGTCCTCTCGGTGGCCTGTCGCGCCTCGTGGACGAGCCGCTGGGCGCGGCGCGGCGGTGAACGCGGGCGTCGGGCGGCCCGCCGTCGGCTCGAGCTGCTGAAGGCCTGGCGGCGGACCGGGCCGCGGGTCTGAGGGCGCCTGCCCCCGGACCGCAGGGGGGTTTGATCCCAGCGGCGACAGGGGCTTGCGAACCGCGGCGCGGGTTGGGCCTATGGCTCCGGAGGGCGTCGCGCCCGGCGCGCTGGCGGTGGCCTCGTCGGAGAACAGGTCGAGCGGGTCGGCCATCGGGCGGGGGCTCTCCAGCGGGGGCCCCTTGCTTCTCGGTCTGCCAGGGGGGGGGGGGCGCGGTTGGAGGGCCGCGCCGGGTACAGCGGCCGCCGGGCGGGCAGGGGGGGCAGGCGCTCGCGTTTCGGAGCGGCGCGGGGGAACACCAGAACCCCGCCCCCAGCGAGGATGGCCGCGACGCGGCCGGGGCGGGCGCCCCAGAGGTGCACGAGGCGGCCCCCGCGCAATGCCAGGTGGCGCCCCACTGCCTGGTCGCAAAGAGTTGCGCGCGGTCGTGGAAGGGGGGGATGCCGCGAGCGTTGGCCTCTCGGGCCCTGCCTGCTTTCATGCCGAAAGATGAAGGTCCCTAGCAGGGTTTCTCCGCGCGGCCACTCGTGGAGGGGGGTAGTCACTGGGGCAGCGGTCGCACCCGCGCCTCACAGAGGCGCCTGGAGATCGGGGAACGTCGTGATACCAGGAGTGCGAGGGCCCGCAAGTTTTCTTTGGTCCAGTCGATGTGCCAGCCCCCCTCCCAGGAGAACATGTGGTACTCCCACGTGCCGTCCTTATGGTTGCTGAGGTGCCTCTGCAGTTTCCACTCCTTGACGAGCCTATGCGGCATTGCGGGGTTGTATTTTTCCGTGGCGTCGTCAAGAGCGCATGTCCTCTTTCTGCTGTGCCCGGTCTGGGCGCGCGGCGCGCCGTCGTCTGCTGGCTCCAGTCCAGCCATGAGCTCCACCCGTAGACTTGGTAGAGCTTCCACCCCTTGGCGTGGAAGTCCCATTGACAACGGGGGGGGAAGAGGGGCCGTACCCGGAACGGGGCCCACGCGGCGCTGAATAGGCTGCGAGGGGGGTAAGTGCCAGGGGTGGGCGTACATGGTGGTTTGTATGGCTCGAGCGGCACGGGTCGCTGGAGATGCTTGCACGTCGTCAGCTGCGGAGGGGAGGGCGATGCTCTGAGCGCCATAGTCGGGCGGCGGGGTGTCGCGTGGGCTCTGCGGGTCGATGTCGGGGAGGTGGACGAGTTCGTCGCGGCGTACGGGAAGG